TGCTGGTTATTCTTATTACCGTTCTGCAGTGTGTTACTGACGTATTTCAGCCATATTTCTAAAAAGTTTTAGTAACTCAAATGAAATATAATATTAATTGTATTTGTGAAACTAGGATGGTTAGAGGAAGCCAATTGAATAATAATGATTTCTGATATTTACTGAGCTCTTAGATGCCCAGCATTGTACTTTACATTTTATAGAACAAGAACTGAGACTTAGCAAAGTTTAGTATTTTGTCCCAGGAAATACAACCATTAAGCAGATTGTGGATATAGTGAATTTATCTTTAGTGCCCACAGCCCAACCACTCTTCTCCCTTCTGGTTGCACTGACAGTCTGTTCCCCCACATCTACTCGAGGAGAGAAGGGTTAAATTAAATCTCTTTATAATTCCTCCTGAATTTTTTCAACAAATCAGTTGGTATATAGATATGATCTCAGCTTATTACATTGATTACCCTCTCTAAGGTTGACTCAGCCTCCAGCTTCATGTAGAACAAAGTAATTCAGTCTGAACAATTAGAGTAGTTCAAATATCAAACCTAATATTGACGCAGACTCTTTAAGCTGCTAGGTAAGTGTCAATAACTTTATTTGATGGAAATGGAATGATGCCAGCAGTTTTCCTCATGATATCTTACTGCTGATTTTGCAGTCTTTTACTCAGAGTGAACACATAATCAACAGCATTTTGAATGCTCACTGCCCACTTTCATTAACAATGTGGGCAAAGACAGAGTTTCTTCAAGGGTAGGGATACAGGAAAAGAGCTCTTATTCCTGAGCAAGAAGGAAGACATGGGATGAACTGTACACATTTAGGTCCCTAGTGCAAGGCAGTGTGCTGCTGGCTTGAAAAAACCTTTGTATCTTTGGGTTCTATTCTGTCACCTCTCTGGATACTACTCTTTTGTCTATGATAGAACAAAACAGTATGAAGAGGAAAGAGCAAGGGTTTTGGAGTTGGACCTAGCTTTGAATTCTGACTCTGCTATTAGCTGTACGACTGGGCGGATTATTTAATGTGTCCCATTCTTTAATTTAAAAATAGTTGCAATGCTTATCTTATGTCAGTGTTTGGGGGACTAGGATCACTGTGAAAAGGCAGGTAAAATGCCCCTAAACAGTGGGAGCTCAATGAAGCCTGTTGTGTTCTCTCCCTAGTAAATGGCAGGAGTTGGACTAATTTTTCTCTGACATCTCCTCCTGTTCTAGTACTTGCCAATTCTGCCTTAAATATATAATTTCATAATTCCTTGAATTGCCTCAATTTTGAGAAAAGTCAGAATGTACAATGCATGCTCACATCCTGGGCTTTCTGGAGAGTCTGCACTCTAAATGGGGCCATTAAACAGGAATAAAGTATAAGGCTGATGTTTGCAGTCAAGGCAACCACAAATCTCAGAACATTACTATATTATTATCAGGCATTTCTAAGTCTGTTAATAGAGCAACACATTACATGGGTTTTGGCATTATGCAATTGGGCACAGATATATAATCAATAGAGCTCTCAAGGCAAAGAGAAATATGTTTCTTACTGGTATATAATAAATATGCTAAGAAGGCTAACATTTTATTAGAAGGTTTAAAATGTAATTTTTTCAAGGACACAATAGACAGTATCAGAGGAGAGATCACTCATATGGTCAAAAATGTGGAACTCACAGAGGTATTAATTTACTCCTCAAAAGCACAATAAGAATAGTCTTTGTTACTGCATATAAGTGTTATTCTGTAGGCAGTGTGCACCATTACTGGGGTGAGTTATGTATGACTAGCACTTAAAGAAATCAGAATGGAAAATAGCAGAGTGGCTGTCGCACTGTAAGGATAATATTTGGTAGAACTTTTATTATATACACATATGTGTACTGAGTCATGATGGAAATTTATTTCTTACTGTGGGTCATGGTCAAAAATTTTGAAAGCTATTGCTTTATGTGACAGTATCTAGAGCAGCATAATAAAATCTGTACTTTGAAAAAAGCATTTGATATATTTCAGTGTCACAGAAGAACCATAACTTAAATTCTGCTGCAAAATATTTTTTAGAAATTGGTCCAACTTGTCATTTTTAGGTTACCACTTTTAAGTTATTACTTAACAAAGAGATATGTATAAATATTTTTACAAGCAAACGGATTTTTAAGAGACCTGTTTGAGTATGCAGGATAGTATGCAGTAGTCCACTGGGGATATCTCAAATTTGGTTTTGAAAATTCACTTACAGAAATCAATCGTAATGACTCTTTAGCATTGTCTCAACACAGATTACCAGCATGTTAAAAATCTTCCAATTACACAATCATTCAGAAACAATAGTGCCTTGAAGTGAACATTTCAGAAAATAAAAAAGAAAGAAACTAGAAAAAGCAAATGAACTCCCAGATGATATCACAAAATGACACATTCTGAGCACAAAAGGAACAGAAGTGAAATAATTTGGAGGACCTGACCAAGCAGACTAAAAGTGACAAAAAAAATCTGATTTGGATAAATGAGGCTTGCCCTTCACAGACTGTTCTAAAATGCTGTTGAAGATGGTGATCATTGAGATGCACTGCGAAACTTCATTTTAAATGGCATGTCTCCCAGTGGATGACCACAAGAAGAACTATGCTGTAAAAACAGGGTAGGAACCTTCGTAGTCCATATATACCTCATTCACTGGGTCTGACACTATGCAACTTCTGACTCTTCTCCACAGTCAAAATAACCACGCAAGAGAAACATTTTGAATTGATTTAGGACATCAAGTCATCCACAACAGCATCACTAAAGACACAAAATGTGTCTTCCAGAACTTCTTCAGAAAGTGACAAGAATGATAGGATAAGGAAGCAATGATAGAATGATGGAAGCAAGGAAGAGTATTTTCAAAGAGATTAATTGTAATGTACCTATTAATGTAATAAAATATTTAAAAATTTATAAATATCATATTATTTGATCATACTTCATAAAATTGACTCTTGTCAGTATTTGGATTAACATTAAACTTCACCAAAACCTATAATTATTTGTTTCATAAGTATTTTTTATGATTGTCAAGTTGTTCACATACAACATTTTATGACTGAAAGTTCACCACCAGTTTTACTTATGTGAGTTAACACAGTAAATCCATGAGGTCAAAGATAATTAGTTTTTATAGCTTTACTGAGATGAAATTTGTATTCCGTAAATTTCACCAACAAGTGTACAATAATGGTTTTAGTAAGTTTGGAGCTCTAGAATTCTCATCACAATCCAGATTTGGGGCATTTTTATTACCCCAGTAGGCTTCCATGTGCCCATTTGCACTTAATCCTGGCAGGCCTGGGGCTAGAGGAGGACAAATGAAGCATTTATCCCACATATAATATTGAAGGGGGTGTTGAAATCTCATTAACTGAGATAAATAGCATTGTACTGCAACGTCCGAAAAACTAAAAATGAAGGCACACACACCCACGATGAACAAATTACAAAATTTTACTTAAAGACTACATTTTATGCTTGCAATTACTCTGCTTAGCCTCGCTTGTCTCATCCTTATCCTGGCCTTATTATTATCTTCCTTCTGCTCCCTGGAAAGATTGACAACCTCTGAGGTACTTTCTGTCTGTATGGATTTATCAGTCTTGGACAAAAGGAATGATACCCTATGATATGTTCAACAAATACGTGTATAACACATGGTCTTTTAGGTCTGGCTTATTTCACTTGGCATAATGTTTATAAGGTTCACCTGTGTTGTAGCATGTGTTAGCAGTCTGAATTGCTGAGTAATTTTCTACTGTATAGACATGTCAATGTTTGTTTACCCATTCACTAGTTGATGAACATGTGGAAAAGTAGAAAAGTTGTTTCTACTTTTTGATTACTAAAAATGAAGCTACTGTAAACATTTATGTATAAGATTTTAGATTGGTCTATGTTTCCATTTTTCTCATGTAAATAACTCAGTGGAATACCTGTGTCATCTTTTAAGCATATGTTTAACTTTGCAGGAAACTGCCAAACTATTTTGCAGTGTAGCTATAGCATTTTGCATTGTTACGATTATGGGTTGAGAATTATATTTCATTCTCAAAACTACTTGGTATTTTCTGCCTCTTTAATTTTAGCCATCATACAAGATGTGTAGAGGTATCTCACTGTGGTTTTAATTTGCATTTTCCTAATGAATAACAATGCTCAACATTAGACATTTGTATGTCTTATTTTGTCACAGGTCTATTCCAACCTTTTGTCCATTTTTAAAATTGAGCTTAAGTTTGGGTTTTTTTTATGGAGTGCTAACAAGTATGCTCCAGATAGAGTTGTTTTATCAGGTATATGAGTTGCTAATATTTTCTCCCAATTTATGGCTTGAATTTTCATTTTATTAAAAGTGTCTCTTGAAATGCAAGGTTTTGGATTTTGGTGAAGTTGAGTTCTTCAAAATATTCATGGATTGTGATTTTCTTGTGCTATATGTGAGAAGTCTGCCCAGTCCAAACTCACACTGATTTACCTGACAGACTTTGGTGGAACACAACAATACTATAGGTAGTTCTACTCAGTCAGAACAAAGTGAAAAAGTGTGTATCCTGAAAGTGGAAGGTAGGAGAGTTTTAAAGAATAGTTCTTTTTTAACATTTTTGTCTAGAATCAATCTCTTGACAAATGAAAAAAATTTTTAGCCCAGTTAGTGAAGAAATCATGCCTGTTTGATCTAAGATTTATTTTTTGCTTTATCAGAATAATTTAATACTGATTCAATGTTGCCCTTATCAAGAGTACAAATATTTTCTACAATTTGTGTAAATACACAAAACCATAGAAATGCATGAAACAAAATGACTTGATGATAGTTTGTTACCAGATGGAGTGTTAAAAAAAAACAACTCTGGAGGGGAAATGAATGAACACCAGACACACATGAGTGAAATGTGGCCATGAAAGGCAATTACATGGATGGAGTATGGCCATAAAATGCAAGGAGTTGTCGGGTATCACACAGAAACAAACCTTGGAGAAATATCACATCCTTGCTGCATAAAGGCACCCAAGGAAAACCAAAGACTGTTAAATATTCCAAATTCATTTGGAGGGTCAGGAGGGCTTTGTGGGTCACGAGGTTCTTCATTGTTGTCTTCTAAGTGCCATTCATAAGGGCTGAATCTACTGACTAGAAAAAGAACTACGCTGACTCCAATATAAGCGAAGACAATGCACATCCAGATTTCGTAAGCCAAGGGATCCAGAAATGAGAATACGCCTGGTTTTGATTTCTGAGGCTTCTTTATCATGATGGAGATGCCCAGGCTCATAAATGGCTTTGAAAAATCTATGACTTCTTCACGGACCAATGTTATGGTAAGTGGAGCAACAGCTATATCAGCTCTCTGAAAAACAAATGCATATGTGACTTTTAAAGATGTTAGTCATTTGCCACCTAATATGCTTCGTTAGTGGAAATCTACAATCTAAAATCACTACAACGAATCAATGCATCAATTCTCATGTTTAAAAAGTAGTACCATTCAATAGGTTCTAAAGCACTTTAACTTGATCGTAAATCAAAGGAAAAGCATTGCTTTCTTTGGAGAGATGTCTTCTGAGACATACTGCATTAAGGCAACAGGTTCCATTTTTTTTAACCTTGAAACTCACTTTGTACTCCTTATGGCATATCCTGTCTTAACTTTAGTTTTCTAATTTTTTATTTTCATCCTCTTATATCTTACCTCTCTCACTTGACCAGAGAGCTTTGTGAGAAGCACAATAGCCTATGCTTACATTTGTTTCCCTCCCATCATGTGTTCAGCTCACATACTTGGATGGTTGCCATCTTGTGTTATTCTTGAGATTGTTTATTAAACAGATAATTCAAAGGATGGGACCGAATCTTCTATTTTGTACATGTCATTGCAATAGACTTTAAATAAAACAGTAGATGTGTTTAAAATTTGCTGGTTTTTGAATGTGATATATGAAAACATGAAAGAACTCTGCATGGGTAATGGCAAGGGTAAAATAATTATTAGAATACACATTAGTGGGTTTTTTGGGTCTTTTTGAGATAGGGTTTCACTATGCAGTCTAGACTAGTTTGAATTTGTTTCATAGCCCAGGTTGGCCTTGAACTCACAGCGATACTCCTGCCTCAGCCTCTGAAGTACTGGGATTACAGGCATGTGTCACTATGCCCGGCTTCATATTAGCTTATATAGTAAGCCATGTTATCTAGTGATGAGAGTCAGTATAGCACTCACGTATATCATATCAATAAATAGAAACAGTGCATTGCATTATTAACTAAGGCCAAGTCAGGTCACATTTTTATATTAATTTTGTGAAAGTTGGCATGAAGAATTTCTGCATTTATATCTTTTTTTTTTCTGTAATCATTCCTTTACAACAGTAGATTTTAGTCTGGATCCAGCTCTTAAAATGCACCTATAGAAAAATACTTATAAGTAAGAAAAGGTATAAAGATGATATATTAGGTATGAAGTAAAAATACTAACATTGGCCAATTTTTCCTCTGTTAAATACTGAATTTTGTCTCAGTACACTTTTTAGTGGGAAGATAGAGTATGTTGTCAAAGAAATGGAATTTTACTGTCTTGAATTACACAGGGTAACTTGAACCATTTAAAAAATTTCTCTGTAGTTTAAGGGGGCATGCAGATGATAAGAAGCTAGCTCATGTTTACTTTGCATGAGACAGTGTGCTAAGCACTTCATATATATTATCTCTTTCCATTTTCATAGCAATGTTGTGGTTGGTACAATTATTATACCCATGCTAGAGATGAAAAAAGTGAAGCACTGAGATAATCTTACTTAGATTACATTAACGATTAGAACCTTAGTATTATATTAGATGGAGTATTAGAAGCTTAGTATTTAGATTCCAGAACTCAGGTTTTAAACCAGAAAAATGGTCTCCATTGACACTCGGAGGTTTCTGTGGCAGACTATTTTATTTGCAATTATTCAGTTGGCCAATCTCTCTAGGGTTTTTTTTTTCCGAAGCATGTTGTAATGTCTATTATGTACCAAGCACTATTCCAGATGTTAAGAATGAACCAGTGAACAAGGTAAACAAAACAGACAAAACTACTTACCTGCCTGGAGGACACACTATATCCTTCCAAGGAGAACTTGTAAAAAACATGTGTTTATTGAAGCCAACAGCCTACTGACCAAATCTACATTGATCACTCACTACCATCTCAAACTCACCCTTTCTAAAATTAACCACACCATCTATCACTCCCAAAGTAGGGTTTTCTCTATAAACTATGAATGATGCTTATTTCAAACTTTCTCCAGTTCTTGTTTGCAGTCTTAATGCCTCTACAGATAATCTTGCCTCTTTCTTTACTGAGAAGATTGGAAGGCATTTGATCTAAATTCTGTCGCCTCTCTGTCCTTCCTCTCTTTCATGTGTTTTTTATCCTTTCTTTCTATGAATTTCCACCTATTCTAGGATACTATTTCTAGGATTTAATCTACTTATTCATGCATTCCATATTCTGCTGTCTTAAAACACAGCTCCATCTATTTTCTCTTTTATGCCTTATATCTTTTCCTTTTCCATTAATTTATCTCAGTGATTTTGAAAGTATAGTTCTTGGACTAGAAGCAAAAATGTCACCTGGGAACTTGTTAGATGTATCAGTTCTCAGGTCACATCCTAGATGTATAGAATCAGAAACTCTCAGAGTGGAACTAAGGCTGTGTTTAAGGGTCCTGGAGCTCAGGTGGCCTTCTACAATGCTTGTTGTAGTTTTAAAAACCATTGATTTATCTTATTCGATTAAAATCATAGTCGTGTATTTCTATTTACTGACAAGCAAAACCTATTCCTTCTAACTTTTGATCCTGCTACCACAGTGACAATATTATTTCTGTCTATTACCATCAATGCTCTTTAAAAGGCACATTACTGCCTCTGAATTTCAACATCGCTTTTTCCTTATATGCTTGAAATCTAAGTTCTAACCCTTCCACTTTACTAAATTTATTTCTTTAACTATATATTTGGTTATGAAATTCAAGGATCTTCCTTTAGACATCAACTGTTCATGTGATACCATTGGTATTTTGCACCATTTGGCTGCTTTCTTTTGCTCTCTGATACTAAAGACTACAGGTTCTCCTCCTGTGAATATCCCATTTCTTGTCTTTTCTTCCTAGGTCCATTCTCTCAGTCAAGGTGTACTCTGTACTCTCAGGGTCTATTCATGAGACCTGGTTTAGAAGATAATTGCAAAAATTTGTGGAAGAGGAAAAATCCTTTAAGGTTTATCTTTTACTTTTTCTCCTCACTGTTATCATCTATGGCTTCAACTTTCATTGGAGCTCTCTCCCAAATCTCCATTCCCACACTGCTGACTGAATGGGAGCCAAAGACAAATTTTACCTATTATACCCTTTTGCCTGGGGCTCGACCTGGTTGCAGAACAAAGGCTGCTGAGAAGAATGGAATTGGCCAGAAAGCTAGCAGGGCTTTTTGGCAAAGATAGACTGAATCAGCCAGAAAGAGTCATGTCATGCCAAGAGAATTCATAGATATAGCCACTTGCTCTACTTGTCAACATGTTTCTGCCTCCTGCTCAGAGCATGCAAATACCCATCTTGTAACATTTCATTTGATCTCATTTGAATTTAATTACCTAATTCAACTAGCGTTTTAATCTTGTAAGTGTAAAAGAGAATTCTAGGAGACATTGCCATTTTTGTCTTGCAAGAAAGATGTAAGGGGGCATTTGTGTGAGAAAATCACTTTGGATTGAATGTAAGGGAATTGAATTCTTTTCAATAAGGTACAGAAAAGACTTTGAGAGTCTTGACCTCTTAAAAAAACTAAGTAACTGGAAGACCCGCTGCATAGTAAGCACAAATAAATACTAATAAGGGGGGGAGAGACAGACAAAGCATGACTTCTGTTGTCTGATCCCCAGGAACATTCAGTGAAAGAGTAGATTCCCAAAGGAGATCATTCCTAGTTTGATGTTCTTTTAAAATCACAAAAGAGAGAATCTTCTCCCCTCAGGCACCTGCCGTTTTCCTTTAGCTAGGTATTTCCACCTTTTCTGAATTTCTGCTTTTTATACCTTCTTTTTCAAAGTTCTATTTTTTGGGAAGATACTCCTCTAATGAGAGTGGTATTAAATCTCGGCTCAGGGCAGCTGCTTCAACGATAATAAGATATGTTATGGTAGCCATTGTTTATTTCCTATTGTCTTGTTTTGAAGTTCTGTATCACTTTCACTGTTTTGTTTTGATTGGCTTGATTATGTATATTTTGTTTGGTTTTATTCTTTTTAAAATAAAGAAATCTGTGCTCAGTGAAGCCTTATTAATGTGCACCTGATTCCAAAATGAGAATTCTCATGCTGACCCTTAAAGAAGACCTATTGACGGAAAAAGACAAAGGGATAAAGACAAATGATAGAAGATTAAAACCTTAACCAATAGAAAGGAAAGAAACTACTGATGCAGTCCCAGGGACAGCGATCTGGACAAGAGACTTCACAACTCCTCCATCTCTTGTGTGCTTGGTGAGAGACCAAAGCAGCATGCTAGTATGACTCAGAATCAGCTCAGAGATGGCCTTGGCGAATTTCTTGTCTTCTATCATCAATATCCCCTTTTCCATATTAAAATGCCATTGTTATGATTAGTTGTATCAGGGTTTAGAAATCTGTCTGCTCTGATATATGTGGAGCAATCAACTTGATTATTAAATAAACTGTAAGAAGAGCAGATAGCTAACAAGCGTCCCAAAATAGTCATTCATCTCTCTTGGGTCTGCCATAGCATGAAATGAGGGAGGTCATTTTTAAAGCAAGTTAAAAATTTAGATGGCAAACACTGATGAAACACTAATTGAAAAAAAGCAATTCTCCAAATGGAATTTGTTTTAGCCTCCTGTTGCTCTGACAAAGTACCTGGGAAAGTAAATTTGAAGAAGGAAAGGTTTATTGTGGTTCATGGTTCAGAGGTTTCAGTTCATGGTCACTTGTCCTGCTAAGCCTGTAGTGAGGCAGAAACATCATATAATAAGGAAACAGTAGAGGAAAGCTGGTCAGCTCAAGGCAGCCAGAGTTACAATATAGGGAAAGGGTCAAAAGATGTATCCCTGTCCTTTTGCCTTTGTTCCACCCAAGCCCTGCCCTGTTGGATGGTGCTGCCCACCTTCAGGGTAACTCTCCCCTATCATTTTGCTCTTCCACAGGCCAACTGTCTCTGGAAACATCCTCTTCTATACATCCAGAAGTGTGCTTTACTAATTTCCCAGGTGTGTGTTTGTCAATCCAATCAAATTGACCATCATGGAATTCCTTTGCTGATTTTTATTCTTAGGAAAGTCAGCGGTGATTGGGGGAGA